GCAGGAACGGGAACATTTGGATAAAAAGAGCACACTTCCACCTGTTTGAAGGGTGAGTGGCAGGATTGTTATTCATTCATTCATTCATTCATTCATTCATTCAACAAACACTACAGGCATGTGGACACCAGGCCCTGGGCTAGGTGCTGGGGGTGCCTCAGTGAACACAAGGCTCAAAACTCCCTGCCTTCAAAGTTTCCATTCTAGTGACGGGAAGACAGACAACAAATAAAATCAAAGAGTAAAGAATATGGTATGTTAGAAGGGGGAGGTGCTATAGAGAAACATAGGGAAAGAGAAGGACGGTGGGGTGTACTGGGTGGAGGGGTACAAATGAAATAAAATGGTCAGGAAAGGCCTCACAGAGAAAGTGGCTTTGGAGCAGAGACATGAAGACAGACAGAGAGAGGGAGGGAGCCAGGCAGGCAGAGGGGCGGCACAGGATGGCCAGTGCAAAGGCCCTGAGGTGGGACTGAGCCAGCCTGGAAGGCTGAGGGTGAGCTCAGGGGAGTGGTGGGGTTCCTGCATCACTGGGGTCACTGTAAGGACTTTGGCTTTGACCCTAAATGAGATGGGGGTCACTTGGGAGCTGTGAGCAGAGGAGAAGCTAGCAATTAGGGGGGAGGCAATGACCCCCCAAAACAGAAGGGAGCAGTGGGGGAGAAGAGAAGGGCCCGGATTCTGGGTGAACTTTAAAAGTAGACTGGACAGGATTGGCCAACAGGGTAACGCAAGGGGTCTGGCCTGGGAAACTGGGGGGATGGAGTTGCCTTCAGCTGAGATGGGAAGAGGGGGCAATTGATTAATAACCCACTGATGACTCTCAGGAGGGAGGGCAGATGCTGCAGAAGCACATGGCTGGGGCCACCTCACCAGACTGCGATGGGGCGGGTGTGGTGGTCAGAGGGCTTCCCTGAGGAGGTGGCATTTAAGCTGAGGCCTGAAGGAAGAACAGGCTGGAGGCAAGGACTAGCAGCTGCTGGGAAGACCTGAATGAGGGCAGTTGGGGGGAACTTCCAGCAGCCCCATGGGGCCCAAGTGTTGCTAAGGGCGAGGAGAGACAGCTCCAGATGAGGCCAGAGGTGGGCAGAAGGGTTTGGGCTGCTTACTCAGCACCCAAAAGGAAGGAGGCTTGGCCCTCTAGCAGCCCAATCAGACCGAGAAATGGAGACCGGTAATAAATAGCCGCAGATGAGTCATCTCAAGCCCTGACTTTCAGCCTGCTTCGTAGCGCTCCCTGGCCTGCCTCCTTCCCCGGAGGGGCCCCTGATTTCAGAATGACCAGGTCAGGCAGAGCTCAGCCCTCAGGGGCCCCCGTTGCTGGGAGCTCACCCCTGCAAAACCCTTGGGGGCAGAGCAGCTTTTCCTTGAAGCAGGTGGGGCCCCATCACCTTCCCCAGGACTCAGATGAAAATGAATAGCACACAGAAAACCTTGTTCATGTCACCAGTGCTCCAAATTAAAAAAGAAACAAGAAAGAAAAGCCTGTACTAATAAAAGGTAATTGGGGATATCCAGGCGTTTTTAAAAACAGAAGCGTTTGGAAAGGTCAGGCAAAGCTGGGTTCAAACCCCACCTCCGTCACTGCCACAGCTGAGCACGTGGAGCAGGCTGGTTAACCTCCCTGACCCTCCGTTTCACCCACTTCACAGGGGTGTGCAAAGATTAAAGGAGGCGACAAATCTTAGCGCCGTGCTGGGCACACAGGAAGCCCTCATTGCCCATCTGCCACAAAGACAGGAATCTCTTCTAAGTACGTGGCCACCTTAGTCAGGGCCCAGCCACATGAACAGATGAGGCCACCCTTCTTCCTGCAGGACCCCAGGTCCCCCCGGCCTCCATGCAGGACCCCTGGCTGGAAGGGAAGCTCCCTGAGGGCAGGGGTTTTTCTCTAATTTCCTCAGTGCTTCCCCCCCTCCCCAGGGCTTGGCGCAATACATATTTGTTGAATTAATGACTGTAACCATCCTGAGTTAATATAATAATCGTCAAACAGCTATAATAGTCTGGCTTGCTGCATTTCCACAGATTCAGGTGAGCTGTGACACAATTTAGGAGACCCGCAATCCCATAAGGCAAGCCTGCTCAGCCTTTTCCCCAAGAAAACATTATCCTTATTATCCTGGAATGGAAGCAAATCTCCGTGGGGGGTGGGGGAGGAAGAGGGGAAACCCCACCATCCTGGAAGGTAAATAAACCTGTTCCCTGACCCACAGGAAGACACTACCTCTGTGCAAACAGCCTTGAAAAGATTGTCCAGGACAAGAGCTGACATAGACGTGTGGGAACACCAGGGAGAACCTTTCCCCAACACACAGTGCTGACTGCCAGGTGCTATGTGCGAGCCAGGGGTCGCAACACCAGCCCTTGTATGGGTTTGCTAGTGCGGCTGTAACAAAATACCAGAGGCTGGGTGACTTAGACAACAGAAACTTAGTTCTCACAGTTCTAAGGGCCGGAAGTCCAAGATCAAGGTGGCGGCAGCTTTAGCGGCTGCTTCTCCCCTTGGCTTGGGGACTGCCGCCTTCTCACTGTGACCTCACAGGGCCTTTCCTGTGCGTGTGCACACCCCTGGTGTCCTTCCCTCTTGTTTTAAGGACGCGGTCCTAATGGATTAGGGCGCAACCTTGTGATCTCATTTCTCCTTAATTACCTTTGTAAAAGGCCTGCCTCCAAATACAATCACATTGAGGGTTGGGGCTTCAGCATATGAATTTGTGGGGGACACAGTTGAGTCTGTACCAGCCCTTATCTGCATGGGCTCCTGTATGCGCCCCTGTATCCCACAAGGTAGGCTTTATAACAGCCCATTTACAGATATGAAATGAAGTTGAGAGATGAAAGGCCTAACGTCACCTCAGACAAAAAGAAAAGAATCACAATGCCCTGCTCTTCCAGTGAATAACACACCTCAGCTCCAAATAACTTGGAAAGGAGGAGGGGAATCCTGGGAATGGAGGCCTGAAGCCTGGGAGCCAGAAGAGGCCACTTCCTCTCAGGGATTCTTCCCGGACTTGGCAATGCTGTCAGTGAGGGCGGGAGCGCCTTGCCCAGGTGCGCTCTGCCAGGCACTGCAGAGCTAGGCTTGCACACAGTCTAAAGGAAGGGAGTCGAAGGCCAGCTTCTAGAACTCAAGCTGTGGCTGGGGGAGGGGCAGCACAGCTGGGGCAGAGCCGACAGGTGTCGGCATCCTCAGAAAGCTCTGTGTCAGCTGGTGACCCCGAGTTCCCTGAAGGGGCTCTCAGCTATAGCATCAGGGTGCTCTCTGCCCAAGCACTTCTTGACTTTCTCACAGAAACTCCCAGCTGAGGTTGAATGTCATACTCCTGTGCTATTGGGGGTCTGTCCACAGCCCCAGCCCCCGCTGCGACATCACTTCCGGTCCTCACACCGCCTTCCTCTCTCCCTTCCATTTCGCACGTGGCTGGGCAGCAGCCGAGCTGGCAGCAGGGCAGTCCTGGACCCGTTCCCCCTCAGTGGACACATGGCAGAGGCAGGAGGTGGCCCGGGAGGTGTGGGGTTCGAGCTACGGCTGCTGGTGCTCTGAAAACCACAGCGACAGAGAGAAAGATCGAAAAAAGTCCTTCCCAGTCAGAATGAAAAGTGAGACAGAGAAACTGAGTGAGAAGATCTGGGTAAAAGAAAAGCCAAACGTCGGCTTCCATGAAAGAAACACAGCCCAGTTGTTAAATGACTAAGTGGCAATGATAGGGTCTCCTGCTGCACGTGTGTGTGTGTGTGTGTGTGTGTGCGTGTGTGTGTTTGCATACACACATGAGGAAGGGTGAGCATGAGGGTGTGTGCATGTGAGGCTGTGCGCCCATAACGTGCGAGGGTGTGTAGGATGTGTGTGCGAGCATGAGAGGGCGCATGTCCTTGCAATGTGTGTGTGCACATGGGTGTGTGTGTGAGACTGTGTGTGTACAAGTATGTGAGGGTGTGAGGAGCGTGTGCTCGTGGCTGTGTGTGAGTAAAGGTGTGTACATGCATGTGTGTGTGAGAGGGGTGTGGTCAGCAAAGCAGTAAGCACCTGCCCCGCTTTCACAGCAGCCTGGGCACAAACACCCCCACCGCCAGGAGAAGAAAATCAAGCTCAAGGCAGGGAGGTGACTTGCCAGTGTTGCCTGGTGTCAGGGAAACAGACAGGCCCTGGCTTTGCCACTGCTCCCTGCTGTGCTGCCTCCCCAGGAACAAAAAAAAAAGAGTCCCACTTAAAGCTGGCCCCAGGAAAAAAGAAATACCAGGAGAGTTGTCACTGACGGGCACCGTGGTACAAGTTAGAAGCATGGGCTCTGGAGTTCATGGTGGTCTGAGTTCAAATCCCAGCTGGGTCACATGCTAGCTGTTGGCCTTAGGCAAGTCATTTAACCTCTCTATGCCTCAACTTCTCCATCTGTAAAATGGGGATAATAACCTTCCCTCAGAGGCCAGTTTGAGGACTCAGAGTTGAGACGTAAAACTCTTAGCAGAGCACCTGGCACATAGCAGGTACTACATACATCTTCCTGGTTATTGTCCTGATAGGAGATGTCTACAAATAATGAGGCCCTGGATTTAATAAACTCGGGGGACACATGAATCCCCAAGATTATGAAATCCTAAAATGCATCAGATGCTGGAGTGACCAGACACCAAGAGCAAGTCGGCTGAATCCCAGCTTGAGGGAGAGCGGGGACAGAGGCAGGTATGGGTGAGGGCCCTACCCAAGGCCCGTCTGCTGCCCACCCAGGCCCATCTGCCAGGGAACTCGTCTCCTCCACGTGATGTCCATCGGTGAGAGGCTGGTTTGCCTGGGAAGATAACCCACATTTGCAGGCAGAAAAAAACGAGGCCCAGGCAAGGACAGCTTTGGGGGGTCAGGAATCACAGGGCAGGACGCCTGTCCAGGTTCCCTTCCCCCAGCATCCTTCCACCTCCTCAAGCCCCACAAGGAATTTTCTGGCATGAAGGGTGTATTAGTCTGCTCAGGGTGCCACAACTCAGTACGCAGTACACACGGAGCAGCTTAAACAGAAATGTATTTCCTAACAGTTCTGGACACTGGAAGTTTGAGATCAAAGCGTCGGCAGGATTCGCTCCTTCTGAGGCCTCTCCTGGGTTTGCGGACGGCCTTCTTCTGGCTGGGTCTTCACATGGTCTTTCCTCTGTACGTGGGCATATCAGAGTCCAAATTTCTCCTTTTTATAGGACATCAGTCACGTTGGAGTATAAAAAAAAAAACCACCTCATTTTAACTTAATCACCTTTTTAAAGACCTGATCGCTTACTTAATACCGTTACATTCTGAGGTTACTCAGATTATGGTTTTAACATGAGTTTAGCAATGTTTCAACAAAAATTTTACATTCTCTTACAGTTCTAGAAGCCAGAAGTCTGAAGTCATGGTGTCAGCAGGGTTGTGGTACCTGCTGGGGGCTCTGAGGGACAATCTGTTCTGTGCCTCTGTCCTGGCGTCTGGTGGCTGCCAACCACCCTTGGTGTGCCTTGGCCGGTAGCTGTGTCCCTCCAATCTCTGCCTCCGTCATCACATCCCTTCTCCCTGTGTCTGTGTGCCTTCTTTTCTGTCTCTAACAAGGACACCAATTATTGGAGTTAAGGCCCTCCCTAATCCAGGATGACCTCATCTCAGTATCCTCACCTTAATTACAACTGCAGAGACCCTCACTCCAGATAAGGTCACATTCCAGGGGTTTGAGCAGACATATCTTTTAGGGTCACCACGTTATGGACCCAGGAGTGATGCTGGCTTCTCATGATACCGGAGGCCACCAAGTTCTTTGAGATCATTGACAAGCTGAGGCCTACAGGACAAGCAGCACCCAGGGACCCCTGCCCTTCAGAAGGCCCCTAGCCCAGCAAGGTAAGCTCGATGAGCCCACCTGGGCCTGGTCAAGACACACAGGAAGATGAAGGCTGACAAGGTGGCCTCGATGGGACGGCTTCCAGAGCTGGTGAGGACAGGGAATGCATGTGGCCAGCAGGGAGACCGAGGAAATGTTTGGGCAACAGTTCCTGAAGGCAGGACGTGAGAGAGGCTTCTTCCCAAAGGAAGAGATGGATGGAGGTTTGTGTAACCCCCACGCCTCGGCCTGCTGTCTTCCCACGCGGCGGCACACGCTGTTCCACAGCCCCCGAGTTCAAACCCAAGGATTCCTGGAAGGGCCTGAGTGGTTTCCAGGCCTCTGACCCTCCCACCCACCCAACTCTCCCACTCACACAGGTCCCTCCCCATCTGGCAGGCACACGGGGGCAGAGGCCTTCGTCCATCATTTACCGGAAAAATTGCCTAGAACTTTCCTTTTCACCCTCTCTCATTTCTCACTGTTTCAGGCCAGGTGAGGTAGACTCCACAAAGACAGGACCCCCATCTCACATGGGCCCTTGTTTTCAAATAATAAATAATATCTCACATTTACTTACTAAGCCCTTACTCAGCACCAGTTACTGCTCTAAGCATTTCATTACCCGATCGTCTCATTTAACCCTCAAAACGCCCCTATAAGGAAGTAGCACTATCGTCTCCATTTTACGGATGAGGAAACTGAGGTTCAGAGAGGCCCACTGACTTGCCCAACTGCACTCCAGGCCTGTGGTTCCAGGTCCAGTGCTCTGCCCACACAGATCTGGGAGAGTTTCCTTCTTGCTGTTTCTCCCTCTCCCAGCAGACTCTGGCAAGAGAAGCCGGTGGGGGGGGGGGGGTCAGAATTTGCTGGGAGTGGGAAAGAGGGGCAGCTGGGCCCCCCTCTGGGCTGGGGGCAGGAAGGATCCCCGCTGCCACCACCACCCCCGTTGAATCTGAGGTCTGGAAAATTCTCAAAGCCTCCCTCCCCTCTTCTCTTCCGGCTGAGTCCCCAACCCTGGCTGGCCTGGAACAGTCTCTTTGCCGTGGGAGCTGGGGCCCAGACCACTTGAGTCCCCTGGCCCCCTGCCATAATTGCAGGGTCTGAGGGAGGCAGAGGGGTCTCAACTGAGTTTCAGAGGCTGTTCTGGGGGCTTCTGGGAATGGAGAGAGAAGCCCTACTCCTCCGTCCAGACAAAAAGGACCTGAAACAATACCTGTGGTCAGGGCTTAATCTGGTGCCACGACAGGGGGATGTCCCCAAAGGCCACCTAAGCCACCATCAGGCACCGGTAGTCACAGAGACCCAACCTCACACCACTCCCGCCAGCCACAGCATGGTCCCTTGGGGCCCGGGCTTCCCCTTGTGACTTCCTACCCACCCCCAAGGTGTTGGTCACTTCACAGGCCCAGTGACACGACAGCTCTGCTCATGGCCTTTGCTTCCAGCTACAGCTCCCCCGACCCAGCCCTAGCCAAGGAGCTGGGAGAGCGTGTCTACGTCGATTTACCTGATACTCTTTCTGGTTCCCTCTTATCGCCTCAGGGGAGGTATGAGCAAGAAAGAATGAATTCCGAGGGCCGGCTGCTGTGCCCCAGCTGGTCTTATGACGGGCGAGGTGGGGTGGGAGGACAGGAAGAGCTGATGACAACCGCAATGCTTATCATGTATTGCCATCTTCCTGTCTGCTCTCGCTCACCTCTCCCTGGCATCACCTTTTACAGATGAACCCCAGCCACAGAGAGGTCAGATGCCACGACCACAGTCAGGGAGCAGCCGAATGCTGGGGGTGGTCTGACCTGAGCTCCGATCTCTGAAGCCAGGCTCCGCGCTCCTCCCCCAGATCAGGCTTCCGATGCAGCTCCCCAGTTCCCCATTTGGGCTGGCAAGCTCCGGGGGTGAGCCTAGCGCTAAGGCTGGTGCCAAGTAGGAACATTCATTGCACCAAAATGCTGTAAATTCTCAGACCACCGGAATGCTACACACAAAAGCACGTGGGGAGTCAATTCTGGAAAAGGCGGTGTTTTGTGTTTTCTGCTTCAAGCACGGTCCACCTCCCTGAGGACGGAGAAATAGAAGCCGTGGCCACTCACCACTCCAGGGAGAGTCAAGGGGGCCGCCCGGAGATGGTTCTGCTCTTTGGGAAGTTGGAAGGGTCCCTTGGGAGGCCAGCTAGTGTCCATTGGTCTCCACACACTCCCCATCTGCATGCAAGGGACGGGGGCCCGCAGCTGCTTACAGACGTAGGGAGTTGCCAGGATGGAGGTGTCACAGCTGTCCCCCGTCCCTCCCAACCTCCCATCCCAGGAGGCCAGCACCCCACGATCTGCCCGAGACATGGGACAATGATGTACTGAAAACCGGTAACAGCTCACCGGTGCCAAATTTCTGGAACACACTCACACTTTGGATCCCAGGGCTGTGTGGCCTCTATCTTCCCAAGAGCTGGGGTTCATTCACTCATGCAATGTCTGTTTATTGAACACCTATATGTGCCACGTGCTGTACTAGGATAGAGCTGAGGACAAGGGTCAACTCCTGCCCGCAAGGGCCTCACTGTTGAGTGTAACGGAGGACATGATGGGTAGGCAGCGGTGGGGCCTCAGACTCAAGGTGCCTTAGCCAGGTCTGTGGGGTCAGGGACGGCCTCTGAGGACTGGACATGGAAGCTGAGGCCTGAGTAGGAGTTCGGTGGGAGGAACAGGGCTTTGGGCAGAGGGAGCAACATGGACAGACCTGGAGGCCAGGGGGAGCCAGCAGGCTTGAGAACCAGAAAAAAATCTTCAACAGGGCTGGAACGATGCCTGTGAGAGGCGCAGGGGGTGAGATGCGGAAAAGGGGAGCAGTGGTCAGGCCCTGCTCTGATTCCTTCCCGGCACTCGGCGCCCCCTGACATGTGTACCGTGTTTCCCCATGTATAAGACGCACCCTTTTTCGAAAAATTTCGGGTCTAAAAACTGGGTGCGTCTTATACAGTGGTTGTAGATTTTTTTACTTTCATTTCTCGCTGAGGACGAGGCAATATATGAAGACAGTGATTCGTCATCAGACACAGATGAGGACAAGCTAATGGTTGGGAGTTTTGACAGTAATGAGGAGTTGTATGAATTTTATGATGAATAAAACTTGAGTTCAATAACTTTATGTAATACATTTTTTTTCAAATTTCGGGCCCCAAAATTAAGGTGCGTCTTATACATGGGAGCATCTTATAAATGGGGAAATACAGTATGTGTTGGCTTGTTTCAGTCCATGTCCCAGCACTGGAGAGGCTCGGCAGGGACAGGTCCCTGTGGTCACTGGTTGGTTGACCACTGCGTCTGCAGAGCCTAGAACAGTGCCTAGAACAGGCACACAGTAGGGGCATTCTGCATAAGTGGTGAGTGGATGAATGAATAAATGAATGACCTGTGCGGGTCCCTCTATGATACAGACAATGGAGGGTCACATCCTCCGTTCTTATTTCTAAACAATGAACACAAGCCATCAATTTTGGAAGAAGTAGGTGATCTTGCTTTTTTTCCTTTGGGGTTTATGCTACATACTTGAAGGGGACAAAAATAGAGAAAACTATTAATCTGAAGGAAAGGGAGAAGCATGTAAGGTGTATTAGGCTGTGCGCCCAACCACAAGACTGCTTCGGTTCAGGGAAATTAAAGCATCTTTTACATCACCTCCGTGATGCAGGTGGAAAACCAGGCGAGAGGAGAGAGCCAAATCCCGAAATACAGTTTAGCCACTACTTTAGAGAAAACAGAAAAAACAAAAACAAAAAAACAAAACCCTAAGAAAACAAATACCATCTCTGTACTTACGGAGCTTACATTCTAGCAGGGGAGAATCACGAAGCAATGAACCTCACGGTTAGGAATTTAATACTATGAAAGGGCCAAAAGGGAGAAGGGCAGGGAGGTGAGTGTGCCATGTGGGGGTGAGGGAGGTCATGTGTCGGGGCTCCAGGGGTTTGAGGAAGCTCCTGGAAAGAGCACTCTGGCTGAGATGAGGAGGACAAGTAGGAGCTGGACGGGTGATGGTGGGAGACAGGAAGTGATCCGTGCAATCCCAAGTGAGGGAGGGAAGGGCCCAGAGCTAGGTACCTGGGAGGGCAGCGGTGACATTCGTGGACAATTGGGAGCGGCGGGTGCTGGGTGAGTTAGGCAGCACCAGAAGACATGCAGCTCTGTTCAGGGGCCTCTCTGCCCAATGACCTTCATTCTTCGGGCCTTAGGTTTAAAAAAGTCTTGTCCCCAACCTGGAGCAGTCACGCAGAGCAGCTCTGGGGAGGCAGCGTTGGCCAGACAGAAGCCCATGGGCCGTCTTTCTCAAGCACCTCCCTGCAGCGTTAGCAGGCAGACCAGCAGCAAAGGTGGGGTTAGGGCGGCTGTCTTCCCACCTAGCCGATCGATTGTTCCAGAAAGCCCCAAGGAGGCCACCATTGAGAGAGTTGGGGTGGGCAGAGCCCAGAAGCCAGTATACAGAAAGACCAGAATTCTTAGGCTTCAGACCTTTTGCCTCTCATTAATTCTAAGATGCGAATTCGTTCACATTTTAACATCTCTGCAATTAGCATTATCTCACAGCCAGTGTGTGCCAGAACCTGCAGCCTTTTTCTTGGCAGTCCAGCAAGTCGAGGTGAGTCCTTCAATCAGTGGCGCCACAGGTTTGATGAAACATAATTGGAGACCTGGGGCTGTGGTTTCCTGCACATGGAAGTGACTAAAGGCAAAAAGGCTGGGAACTTACTAAATTTTCATCAGAATCATCCTTCCAGAGAAGCCATTTGCCCTGACAATTTAATGGAGTCAGCAGGGTAGTGTGGACGTTTACGGGAAAGAAAAGATTTTTATCTTGTTCAAACTAAGGCTACACTGCGTCAGCTGAATTTATAAAACAAATCTCAGCTGTAGGTTTTGTCATTTTTGTCTGGCAGAGCCTTCTGGATTCACTTTGCGCTCTGGCTAAAGAATTTCTAACAAAACCACTGACTCCTACAGGCTCTTTGACTTAAAATTACATGTGGAACAAAAAAAAATTACACGTTGAACAGGGAAAAAAGAAAAAGGACTTGAATAGACATTTCTCCAAAGAAAACATGAATGGCCTATAAGCACTAATGATCAACATCACTAGTCATCAGGGAAATGCAAAACCACAATGAGAGGGCTGGCCGAGTGGCGCGC